CACCAGCACACACACACACTCAACCAGTCAGACACACGCATACAGATGCAACGGCATGCCAATAATCTGACTTGAATGGCACCAGCCGAGTGTAGTTGGTGTAGAGTAATCGTAAATAAGTACGGTGCTGCAGCATGCCACACTTGCCCCGAGGCAAGTACTCAATATATACATATCTGTATAAAAGTACATATAGACAGATGCATTTAACACATTGACACTTGTTGCATATTACACGCACGCACATCCATTCAGGCACACACCCACACAATGCCATTATGTGCATCATATAATTCAATATGGAAAGCACGCGCCAAGTGGTGGCCACATTTTTTTCTTTTTTTTTTTGTGAGTGCTTGTGGGTTTGTGTAAGTTCCCTCACAACAAAAGGTAAACAACCAGAAAGATTTTAACTCACTATAACTGAGAAAAATAACCTATATATAGTTGAGAAACTTAAGAATTAAATTAAATTAAATTAATTATAGCAAATTAAGTTGTGGCAAGTAAGTAAGCAATAATAAAAACTAGATCATGTTTGAAGTCAATACCTAAACTCTGTTTGTCCAACTGGAATTAGGCATTTAAAATCAGTGGCCACTTTTCACTTTTCGCTAAATGGTATTAAAGTGCAGCTATATAATCTGATTAAAATGCGCTTGATGTAATCGCCTCTTTGGCTTTTATAATATGTACATTTGAGCTTTAGTGCATTAAGCGCTGTCAAGGATAATCAGGACTATAGTATAAGCCAATGTTGTTTTTGTGGCCAATATTGACATGTCAGTGTGTGTGTGCCTGTGTGTGGATGTGTGTATATGTGAGTGTGTGTGCATTAGCTGACTGCCATATACAATTGTTAAATAGCATTTCAATGAAGTGACTAAGTGGAAAACTCCTGTGAAGGAACATCAAGTGGCAAATGGCAATATAGTACAGAGTAAATCCTGATCATAAAAAGAGCATCAACTGGGCCAACTACAAAACCAAAGTCATCCACTAATTGTTGCTTTAAAGCTTCAACTTCCAACAACAAGCTTAAAATCTTACCACGAAAACATTGAGCTCCCCGTCTCTCTCTCTCTCTCTCTCTCTCTCTCTATCTCTCTCTCTCTCTCTCTGTGTGTGTGTGTTGTGGCAAAATGGTGATACACGTGCGGCTGTGGCAAGGTGATTAAAAAGCTTTGCTAAGCAGAGCAGCCAGCAAGTAAGTACGTAAGTAAATAAACACACTGAGTTTCTGCTACGTGACATTCAACAGACTCCCAAAATAGTCTGTAGATGAGGAAAAATAACTGGCAATACGTATATATATGTGCAGACCCGACCTAGTAAGCTTAACTTAATGAGCCAAATAACTTCAACGCTCTAAGCACTCAATGAATGCAACCACGGAGTTGGAAAGTATTTGAAAAACTTAGCAAGAACTTTAAGTTTTTAATGTATCGAAGAAGAAAATACACTTTAACCCTTAAGCCTTAAACTGATAAGTTTGTTTGGAATATACCAGCAAAATAAAAAAAAGAGTCATACAACAAACCAATACACTGGCACATAGTGACTATAGTTGACAAAGTCTTAAGACGATGCCTTAAAAATGAAAAGATTAATTCAAATAGATGTTCATGATTATATATAATTGCACCCTAATATGCAATACAATGGCATCAAAGCACCAGCTCATTGCCAATTTTTGAGGGTCAGCAGCATTTAAATGTTCACGAACAGCAGCCAAATTGGCAAACTGACCTATCAACGTCTAAAATTTAAACATAACTAACAAAAAGGCAACTCATAGGCAACTTTTGAAATTGGCAAACTTTGAAATTAATTAAATTCGCCATCAATGCCGATGAAACCATAACAAAAACTAATATTTGACAATTGGCAATAATCGCACGAGCAGCCGCATGTATTGCCAAAACACAAACAACAGCCAAAGCCAAAGAATTGCAGGGTAAACAAAAACAACAACAACAACAACAATAGCAGCAACAATGGACGATCGCAACAATTAAAACAATTCGAAAAAAGCAATGTAAAATTTTCATGTTCAACATTTTTTTTAATTCTTTTTGGTTACGAGTGGCAGCATGCAAACTAGACCGCCTGCCTCTCCAGGCAACACTGCATGCAAATTGCTGCTGAGTGTGACCCAATGTATGTGGGTGTGTATGTATTTTGTTGCCTTTTTTACGCTTTTGGTGAAAGGACAAAGTTTTGTCGAACAATTGCTACCGTGCACAAAATTCAATTGAAAACTCAAAGGTCCCCCGTTTATTCAATATAGAATATAATATATGTATATATCCGAATTCGACATATGCTTGTGGTACCTGTGTGTGGGCGAATGTTTTTCGACAGTTGAACATTGCCCGGTGGATTGTTGTTTGATTGAAAATGTTATTGAATATCAGCTGCAAAAACTCTTCACAAAACAAAAACTATAACTTAATAAGCGCACGACTTTTAAACACTCTGTAACAAACATTAGTAGAAAACTTACTACAAACATTGATATATTAGGTTTAAGTCTCTTAGAAGTTTTAATAGAAGATAGGCTTTGGATTTGTTGGTAGCGCTTTTCGGTATACACAAAAGTCGTTTATCTCAGTTTTTAAGTAAAAACAACTGTCTTGAAAAAATCTATTTTTTAATAAAATAAATGTTAGTTATAAAAAATGAAATGGATGGCAATTGAATTTAGTAAGTTACAGGATTCAACTAGGGTATTATAATGGCAAAAGTACATATATATATGTATATACACTAATACAAACATGTAGTCATTAGTTATGAAATTATAAATTCAATTGTCCTTGACACGTTCGCATTCATGCTTACAAATTCAAAGCCCACACACACAACTGTTGGGTAATTATTTATTTAATTAATGTTTATTAAAAACGGCATGAAAACGACAGAAAAAAACTATGAAATGGGCTTAAAAAAAACTAATACATTTTTTGTTGCAAGAGCTTTAATGCAAATAAATGAAAATAAAAACCATATTTCAATTTATTGCCGTTACAAAAATTTAAATTCGCTTAAAAAAAAAAACAAGAATAAAACCACTTCCATAAGCGTGTGGCAGGGATTTGTTCGGTCCTAAACATCCGCATTGGATTAGACGACCCTTTTATTTTTGTTGGCCAGCTTGACCCAAGGTCAAAATCGGCTTATGCTGACAACTTTAAATCAAAAGAAGATACCTTAAACTAAAACAAAGCCACCTGTAAGACTATCAGGCAGTAAAAACAAACACCTCCTCCCACCACAACTGGCTGTCCTGCTTCGCCCCCATTCTCTAAGTATTCAATTCCATAAACACTTGTACACGCAGATCACGAGGCCATCGTAAGCCAGAGAGCGGCTTGGGGGAAACTTCATCAACAGAAATTGTGAATTCCATACAAATAGTTTGACAAACTTGCCCTAAACTTGGTCTACTTGGGGAAAACGGGCGGCTGGGGCAAAAGGCACAAATGAAAGAAGTTCTGCGGAAGGCACTGAGCCAGGCGACGATAGGCAGGAAATGCCACAACAGCAGACATAAAAAGAAATCTTATAAAGCCACAGCAACAAGAAACTTATAGTCCTGTATGTATATACGATTTAGATATGTATGTATGTATGTATGTGTATCGCATGCATGCAAAACTAGCCTGAGATAAAAGAACTTGTGGTCCACTTGTGGACTTATTGTATTTTTGCTATGTGTTGCAGGTTATTCCTTAAATTTTAAGTTAATTTAAGTCCATTCCATTTGTAAAACACTCAGAGATGTATGATATGTGCTCATGTGACTGTTATATATTAGATTAGAAGCATATTACTTATTTGTTGCAAGCCAAGTTAACCTAAACTAACCAATTTCTAGGGTATTCAATAAGAACATCATATGGCCCCTTCCCACTTGGCATAGTTTTTGAGCATTTTCTTTTTAGGCGCCAACTATTTGGTCACGTATCGTGTGCTTATTATGAATGTGGTGAAATATACGATTACATACCTATAAAGTACATAATATACATATGTTCCATATAACTATGAACAACGCGTGCGGCATATTATCGCATGCGTTGCACGGTGGCCTCAAAAGCATCCAGGCAGCCTCCGGGCAGCCTCCCAGCCTGTCAGCCTGGGACAGGACTCAAAGCAACACCCGAAATGCGATGACGCGTCGCAATGGCTATATTCGAAGGAGTATAAGAGCCAGAGAAAGAGAGAGAGAGAGATAGCCATAGAGAGAGAGAGAGAGATAGTGAGCGAGGGACAAGGAGAGTAAGTCAGTAAGAGTACCAGGACCACATAATCAAAGTCATCAGGCAAACACAGTTACGGGAAAAGTTACAGACATGGGGCATGTCCAAATGGTGGCTGCTGAAAGTTTTCGATGTCCGAACGAAGCCAAAATAGGCCCACAACCAGACAGCCTGCTCGACACTGTTCGAGGCTCGAAAGTTTCAGACAACTTGTTTGGGCTCGGTTTTGGTTTTTGGGGTTTTTGGTTTTGACATTATTCCGGCGCATTGATTGTCAACTTTCCAAAGGGGAATTGAACTTTGCGTATACATCTCTTTTATGTTTTATTTTCGCATCAATCAAATGCCTGTGAGATTTTAACTTGAATTAGTGGTTAGGTTTAAGCCAGTTACGGAACTTGGCGTCCATATTAAATGTTATATGCTAATCAAATCAAATTACGCAGTTAACAACTATTTTTGAGCATCTTAATTACATTAACAAAAAATAACATTTGTGTCTGCTTATTATTATGCCATTGCAAACATAAAGCGAAAAAAAAGAATCGAAATTAAGACTATTCGGTGAAGAAAGTCCGAATGACGAACGGATTTATTAGGACTATTAAAACAGCAGTAAGAACTTTAAAACCAAACAGTTCAGTAAGAAATAGTTTTTTATGTCAGTATGTTATAGCTCTCATAGTGTATATGTGTATATAACTTGTAACTATTTGTTATTGTGTACCATTACAGCTGTTGCTAGTGGCCATTGCTGCGGCCCGATTTGGTTGCCCGACGACGCGCACATCGCTCGCATTGGCCTGCGATGAGTCCACGCCAGCGCTTCAGAACAATAGATACAGCAGCTACTATAGCAAGAGCCGCAATAGCAACAACAACAATGATTATAGCTACAACAACATTGATGGCATGGTAGATAGGAGCGAGAACAACGCTGATGGCAACAATGACAACTATAACTACAACAAAGCGTCGGCCAAATGGCTACCGTCGCAGCAAAAACTATACGGAAATTCCCAGGAGCAACAACAGCAGCAACAACAACAACTACAACAGCAGCAGCAGCAACACCAACGCCAACAGCAGCAACAGCAATTTGTTGATGATCCTGAGGCAGCTCGCAATGACTTCCTTTTGCAATTGTCTGACTTAAATGCGGCTGTGCAAGGTGTAGGCATGTTTGCTGCCACACATAGCAGTAACAGAAAGAACGACAACAGCAACAGCGACAATAGCAACAAGAGCAACAACAATGGCAACGACAACAATGTGTGGCAAGCTGATGCTGAATACGAAACAGAAGAGGAGCAATTGCCGCTGGATCGTCGTAGTCGTAGTAACAGCTACATGTCCAGGTACATAGACACTCTATAATACCACTCCCCCTCACCACCTCCCTCCACAAACCCCTGTAAAGAAGTCAGAACACAAACGAAAATTAGCCGTAGCAAGTTTTTGGCAAAATGTGGCCGGCCCGAAGCAAGGGCAGCTAGACGAATTTGACACATTCCTCAATGTGCCCCAAATATGATAGCAGCTTGACAATAAGTAAGCTCCAAGCTCTAGCTTTTGGATTTGCCTGCAGCTTTGTTCTGCATATCAACTAAATCCCAGACCTACAACATTGACGCAAGCAGTTAAGCTGATTCACTTTATGCTGCACTGACGTTACCCTCGCACCCTCGCACCCCCTCTCCTTATCGTTCTGTCGCATTTTGGCTTTTTTGCTTGCGAGATCAGGCTTAGGAGGATCAGGCGATTGCGATGGCTATGCCAAAGATTACGTAATGCGACGCCAAGCAGAAATCGAGCAACAATAAAACGTCGAAGACAAAAGACCAAATGCAAAAAATCGTTTCTGCTCAAGTTAAGTCAACAGCTGAATGCGCTATAAACAGGTTCATAGGGAAAAAGAAATTTTAACAGACTTACAGCTATCTAATAAAATCAATATATAGATTGATATATGTATCTAATAGTATAGATAGTATTAATTCGTAGCAGCAGCTTAACTTATAAATTAAAGCTCAGACCTCTTTTATTGAATACGAGGGATAAATAAATATTGAGAAGAAACAATATTTGTATAAGCCAAAATCTGAGGAATAGTAAAACAAATAAAAAAAGAGGAAAATACTACAATTTAGTAAATGTTGCATACCAACCAACAAAAAAAGCAGAAGAAATACATTTTGTCTAAAAAATATTTAAGAAAATAACGCAACTAAATTTAAAATTCAAATGCAAAAGGCAAATAAAAACCTCGTTATTTTTTATTTATTTTTTTTTCGCAACAGTAAGTATTAAGTAGCTTTAATTTTCTGCTGTTTTGCTTTGGCTCTCCACAGTCCCTGAACGCAACAATTCCAAAACGCATCCATTCGTTGCTAAACATTTTCGCAAACTTTGCGACATAACTATCAAAGCCGTTGTGTTTGCCTGAAGTGCGCTTCAAAAAAAAAAGCAAGCGACCCCTGCGGTGAGTGGTTGCACTTGGACGGTCGGTGGGTGGTGGATGGGTGATGTGAGTGTCGCTGGTGGGTTTACCGCTCAGCGTAAAGCATTGACAACGAAAAAGGAAATCCGCTGGCAGTCAACGACAGTCGCGTTACGAAAGGGAGCTTTGTGTCCACAACCAGATCCAGCACCACCCACATCCCAAGCCGCATCCCCTCCATCTTCTACTTCTTCACCGCACCAAATAGGCGGACAAAGCGCGCAAACGCCGCAAAATGAAAGCTAAAAAATTCATTGGCATTTGCTGCAGTTGAATGCAAAATGATGCGCTTTTGTTGGCCAGCTGCAAACAAAAAAATGTAGAGAAAAAAATGTTGCGAGACAAAACGAGATAAAAACTATCTAACGCCATGCAAATAGCCAACGTGAAAAGCATTTCTTTTTCTCTTTGTTTTTCCCTGCTGAGCGCATTTTACGGGCGACCGCCGCCGTTTCCGGCAGCGTTTGGCGTTAGATGCACGAGCAGCGCTAATTCATTGCCAAAGCGTAAATTCCAATATATACATGTATGCAATTGCAGGAATTCAGGACAGCCGGAGCAGTACGGCAATGACGATCCGACAACAGAAAGTGACATAGATGTTGAGGGCGAGGAGGACTATGCCGTATCATCCAACAATGATGCCGACGAGCTAAGCGATCAACTGCCTTATGGTATACAAAATGTGCGCAAGCGACGCGTGCGCAGTGTTATGCCACCAGCAGCACCACAACCACACGGCGGCGATGGTGTAAGCTGATCATCATATTCGATTGTTAAAATTGACACTCAAAAAAAAAAAACAATTTACAGGTCATCTACCAATCGCTGTGCCCCACGAACCGAGTCACTGTTAAGTTGGACAATGGCGAATATCGGCCCAATCACTATGTGGAGGTCACCTGTGCCAATAACTATGCCCCATTGCCAGCCAGGATGCACAACTATGACTTCAACTATCGCAGCAATGAGCTGCCTCTGCTGCGTGCCCTTCTCAACGAACGGGTCGGTGAGAAGCGTGAGGTGCGTATTTCTTTCGCCAGTTCTCTTCGCAGTGAAATACTTTTTAAACAGGCTTGCCTTGGCTTTTTGTAACCAATCCAATTTACTTACCAAATTCTACTTCATAGATCTGTTCGGCAACTGGGTTCTCGTGCATTCAGCTTAATCGCACCATACACCTGATACGCTTGAACGAAGGCAGCGGCTGCTGGGAATCGGAGACGCGTACAGTGCCTTCGGGCTGTGAGTGTATGTGGCCGAAGCACAGCTATGGCGACATTGCCTCATATCATCAGGCACAGAAGCGTTTTAAGACGACATTGACCAATCTGCAGGGACACGGCGGTGCCATTGGCAACATCGATTATAAGCCAGGTGTGGGTTATCGCCAACTAGCGCTGCGCTCCCGTGCCCCCAAAGTTGCACATGGCATCGGAGGTGGTGTTAGAGTTGGAAGTGGAGCTGGAGGTACACGCAGTCGGCGTGCGGATGCTGACTATGATATCTATGAATTGAATTGAATTGAATTGCATTTGTTTAACGCGCAAATTCGGACCAAGTGCCAAGCACAATGGGTAGCACATCAAATTTGGATTATTTAGCAACTAAGTTGAAGGCGGTAATTTATTTTTCTTGCTGTGGTTTTAGCCGTAATACACTCTTTTTGTATGTTCAAATAATTGTAAAAATCAAAAATGTATAATTAAGACAAATTAAATACAATGGAGCAACCAACAGATGCGAGCACTTATTATATGTGTGTGTATATAGCCACGGATGCAGACGTATCGTGGTCATAAATCAATTGGCTTCAATGCTTCAAACCAATACGCAACACGTTAACAAATCTATATTTATTTATTTGCCAGATTTGACTTTACACATACAATCGAAACCAATTTACAACCATTTCAATTCATAATCCTAGAGATAATTTGGTTTTGCGTCGGTCGTTGACGCATTTATGTACATTATAAATCATTACTGATTCGTCTGCCGAACGTAAATCAGTTGAAAGCCAACGTTATTTGATTGTCGACAGCGGCTGCTCTGCCGCCTGCTGTAACACTCCGTCAGCAACTGCGGCAATTTGGTCCTGCAGCTCCTGGAGTGATTTGCTCGCATCGAGCAGATGCCAATAGCTCGACCGTTGTGCGTATAAGCGATCAAATTGCTCTCCAACCTTGCGCTGAAAGTCCAGTTTCTCATAGCTGTAGCAGAAAAATAAACAAGTCAGAGTATGCAAATTAACAAAATATGCAGATTACCTACCGCTCCTCTCCGTAGCTGCCGCGGGATGTGAGCTCATCGAGATTGGCTTTAAGATAGAAGACAGCATCGGGCTCGAGGAGACCACGGTCAGGTGCACAACACCAATCGAAATCCACTCCCTTTGCCGCTGAATACGCCGCTCCAGAGTAAGAATAACGATCACAAATCACCGTCGTGCCGGCCAGCAGATCTTTTTTAATACTGTCCACGCATTCCCAGCGATTAGCTGAGAAGAGCAGATGGATAACTTCATCCTTCAGATCCTGGGTGTTTGTCAAATATGCGTTTATCATCCCGCCAATTGTTGTAGTGCGATCCGGGAAATTAATTTGTTTGATGTCAACACCTTTACTCGTCAACACACTGGCTGGAAATGCATTAATTATCTTCAATGATCCAAAATGGATTTTACCAAAAGGCTTTTACTTCTTGCGAAGTCAGCTGTATTTATTAACAGTTTTACTCACACAAATGTCGGCTTTGTGTTGTTTTGCCGCTTCGATCACATCCTTCAAATACTATAAATGCGCCACGTTTCCCAACATGCATATTGTTGTGTCTATTTGTTCTATCAGCGCGAGATATCAAAAAAAACCGGGAAAACAATTTTACCATTGAAATTCCAGGGCCAATGAAATGTACCAATGATGTACCAATGAAATTCCAGGGCTGCAGAGGCGCTGAAATGCGCGAGTGCGTAACAAAAAGCTGATTGCTTTGCCCGCGAACGGTAATATGCGGCATTTGGCCAACATATCGTTCAATTCGTAATTAAAAATTAAAAATGATTTTAGATGCGAGCGAAATATCATTTATTATAAAATTGATATTCATCAATTTCGCGTTTTAATAAATATATGTGTGACGCATGAACTCGCAATGTTGCACTTCAAGCGGAAGCGGAACTAGAACGATAGTTCTCTAGCTCCACTCATTAGCCAAGAAACACAGTCACACGCACACACACACACACACACATGCATACGCATACAATCACACACACTCATAACACAGAAGCAGAAGCACACGTAAATTACATTTTGTTTTAAACAAATTAAAGCACGCATAAAAAACGCGTACGTCTATGCGGCATTTGTTAAATAAGTGACAATTTGATTGAGCAAACGCAACAATGTGTTAACAACAGAGTGCGTGCATTTGTGCAATTTTGGCAAAGGCTTGGTTTGCTTTTGGCCTGCCTTTTCGGCCCAAAACAAGTAATTCGCAAAAACAGTCGCACCGAATCTGCAATGCGCTGCACTTGCGAGTGAGTGAGAAGGCGCGACAGAGGTACTTGTGCAAACAGTGCTAATTAACAGCAAAACTTCCAACTAATACTCACCTGCCAGTCACATTCCGCTAACCACATTTAAACAACAAACAAAGAAATGGGATTTCGTAAACCATATTAATCAAAACACTAAACATTCATTCATACATGCAAAGACCGCGTGTTTCTCGCGTAGCGCCCTGCACAAGCACAAGTAGCAGCAGCAGCATAAACCAGGGACGGGCATGCAAAACAACGCTGCCGACGACAGTCGATAATTAATCGACTGTCTACGTTATCGCTCAAGGACCGCTCGCTGAAAAGTTTTGCAAGTGGGTGGATGTGGTCGTTGGTTGGTGTGAAAAAAAGTGCGTGCGAAATTTGTTTGTGCTGCAAACTAACGTCAGCTGCAATAATTGAATAACTCTCTCTCCCCTTCTTTCTCTCTCACTATCTCTCTCTTTCTGTCTCTCTTCCTCTATCTCTATCGGTTTAATGCCGCATCGTTTAACGTAAACAAATGGGCGACAGGACATTGTTGTAGCACATGCCGTATGGCCCCATAGACAGAGTGCTTTCAGTGCTTCCCCCAATTCCAAATTTAGTTATGTGTTCGTTAATAATACGCTCGAAGTGTTGAAGCTGACACATCCTGCGATCCTCCTGACAACAACTGTGTGTGTGCCTATCATTGTTTTTGATTTCCGCCCAGGCTCGCCCCTGGCCACGATTGTCGGCAATCAAGTTACTTAGAATCTAATTTCAATTTGTAGCTGTTCTCCATGCAGGATCTCAGTTAGTTTTGAGCATTTACGCCGCGGGTTCACCATGTCCAACAATAATCATCCGCACGGTCATTTGAGTCAAGCGGCACAGAATCCCTCATGGAATCCCCTGCAAGTAAGTATCTGCTGTTGTTCATCTGCCGCCGACGAGCATCAGAGACAAACACACGAAACTGAACCTCATCTCTGCAGATACCTTCGTATATACCGCGACAGCCGCAATTGGCGCACATGTCCAACGAACGGCCGCTGGTGCGATCCCCTCTCGCCTGGCATGCGTCCGCTCAGCCGCCGCCGCCGCCACCTCCAGATGCAATTTACAATTTTATGTCGGCCAATCATAAAAACGTAATTAGCGTAGTTTTCATTCGTCGTATCCCACAAAAAGAAAAATTAAAAAGCATGCCACCAAAATCCAACATCCACCCGTAGTTAACTCCTCGCTCCAATGTCTCTCTTTATTTCTCCCGTTTGTATTTTCAATTGTTGACATGCCTTGGTTGATGTTGGTAAATCGGATCTAATCTTTTGTATTATCTTGCAGCTGGATCATCATCATCAAATGAATCCGTTGCTGGCGCCGCCATATACTGGAACATTGCCCTTTGACTCCATGGATTTGTCGCTGCAGTCGAGTCGCAGTGCTGCGCCAGCGCTAAGTAAAACTGGCCAACAACAACAACAGCAGCAATCACAGCAGCAGCAGCAACAACAACAGTCGTCACATTTACATGCTCCGCATAATTACCCAACGATGTAAGCAACATTTACTATATGCTTAGCCTTAGCCTCAAAATCTGATAACAACATCTTTGCATTTGTAGATATTCAAAAATTAGAATAATTTATGTATATAAACTCTTTCGTTGGGTATTATAATTTTGTCACACTTAATAAATTACTATGCAAAATATTCTCAGTCAGTCAATCATTTTTATCGTATTTTTATATAATTATAAATTTTATAAATTCTAAAATTGTTGCAACAATACATGTACTTAACAATATTTGTGTGTAAAGCAAGTTTTGCAACTTGGAATATGTGCTCTTTACAAATGAACACTCCATATTAACTTTATATTTATGTTTTTTTTTTTAATTCGCATACAGTCACAATCTGACCACAAATACGCCCGCAGGAGCGCAGCAAGGACATTTGCCGGGCATGCCTGCGTCGGCATCGCCTGCAAGTGCTGCCAGTAAATATTTGAATGCGAATGGCGCTGCCGATTGCGAGTCGCTGTTGCCGCCGCCGCCGAGTACCCCGCCCAACAACAACAACCACAACAATAACAACAACAGCAGCAGTAGTGTCAACACCAACAGTAGCAGCAGCAACAACAATGTGCCGCCATCGCACTACATGCAGAACCGTGACGAGAACTTTAAGCTGACGCAGCTGAAGAGCATGCAAAAGAACACTGAACTGAGCAGCAAGGAGTGCAGCTATGCGGCTGGCGCGGCAGGCAAACTGGCCGCCCATAGCATGCAACAGCAGCAGCAGCAGCATGCCAAGAAGCGTAAGTGTTTGAACAGAATGTAATTGCGTTTATATTTCTTTGTTAGGATAACCCGTTCTTACTATCTTAATATATAACCGATTATTATTTATATGCTTAAAATCGAATTGTGCTAAATCCTTTGCTTTCCATTTATAGCCTCACCGCTGCGCAACTATCATCAGCAGCAGCAACAGCAGCAGCCATATAATATGACGCCGCCAAAATATAATGGACCACAGACGCCGCCAACGCCGCAGTCGCCGCTGGACTATAATCAGTTGCACTTGCATCATCAGCTGCATGCAAGTGTTGGCAGTTATGCACCACATCAGCCGCAGCAGCAGCAGCAACATCAGCAGCTCATGCAGCAGGAGCAACAACAACAGCAGCAACAGCATCAGCAACATTTGCATTATGCACCACCACCACCAACGCATCATAATCAGCATCTAGCACCACCACCGCCGCCACCGTCTCACATGACCAGCGCACAATTTCAGCAGCAGCAGCAACAGCAGCTGAGGCAGCACCAACCACCACCACCACCACAGCAACAGCAGCAGCGGCAGACATCGCCACAGCAAACACATACAGCACAAATGCATTCCCGCAATACGCAATTGACGAATCTCGATATGCTGTCGAAGCACAAGCCAGACGAGGAGCAGCCCCAGTCGACGCACGAGGAGCCACAGCCGATCATTACAGATCTATCCACATCTGCCGCATATCGTAGCACGAATGCTGAGGATAAACAGCTGGTCGAGGCGCCCGAATCGCCGTACATGACCACCTCGAACGAAGAGTCGCTAGAGTCCAACAGCAACAGCAGCAATAGTCGCAAGCGGCGCAAACGCAAAGCAAGTCAAGTGATGCGCCTGACGCCCAGCGATAATGTGAAAAGACAACGCACTCCAAGCCCGCTTAGCAACAGCTGCAGTCCCAAGCATTCGCCAAAGAATGGCGAGTTCCAGCCATTTGCAGCCAGGAAGGAGCAGCAGCAGCAGCCGCAGCCGCAGCAGCAACCACAACAGGAGCACGAGCACGAACTGCCACAGGAAAATGGACGCGCAGCAACCCCGACAATTTCTGCTGCTGCAACCGAGAATAGTAACAGTTCCACGCTGTACAACGACACAACGACGGACAATCCCAAGACAAAGAAGCAGCGACAGGCACTACTCCAACGCAATCTTACTGAACAGCAGCATCTGCAATGTCAACAGATTGCAGATGAACAGCTGCCCGCCGCCACAAATGCATCAAATGAACCGACGCTGCCACCGCCCAGTCCGCAGAGCAACAGCAGTAGCAGCAGCTCGAGCAGTTCAAGCGCTGCGACGCACAGCAGTCATGCGAGTGAGCCGCCATCCGGCAAAGTGGAACAGCAGGAGCAGCAGCAGCAACAGCAGGTGGACAATAATAAGGCTATAACAGATACGCCCGCCTCGCCGGCATTGGTAGAGCAGGGCGACATTGATGCCAGGCCGGCGGTCAGTGTGCACGATGATGAGGATGAAACAGCATCGCCAGCGGACAAACAGTCACCGTTGCCAGCAGCAACAGCACCAAAAATAACAGCACCTACAGCTGCTGCTACTGCAGCTGATGCTGTTGATGCTGCCACTGTAGATCCGTGTCACTTTAATGAGGTGGAAGATAAGCTGGAGAAAATGTTTGCCGGCATTGAAGATGAGCCCGCCGAGCAGGCAGCAGATACAGCTCGCGCCGAGCACGACTTGAGTGCTCATTTGTTACTGGACAATGAAAAAGCTGTGGAGCAGACTAAAGCAGCGGCGGCCAGCACACCACCCGCGCCCAGCACGCCACCAATGGCGCCAACGCCTGAGGTGCGGCCCATTGCCACCAAAGCGGCAATGAAGTCAACGCTGCCAAGTCCCATACACAGTCCCACGCCAACAGCAGCAGCAGAGACGCCCATTAAGTTGCAGCAATCACCAATTCCAACAGTAGCACCTGCATCTGCAATTGTAGCATCAACGGCAGCGAGTGCCAAAGTAGTGCCACGAACGCCGCCAACGCGTTGCCTGCCGCCGCGTCGACTCTCGATGGGCATGGATCCGTCGCTGTTACGTTTTACCATCGAGGACCAACAGAAAGCGAAGAAAACGCCACAACGCAAGAGGCAGCCGCCGCCACCGCCGACCGAAGTGGAGATTGTGCAGCTGGACAGCGATGATGACAAACCAAGCACATCGGCAGCTGCAGCAGCTGCACTTGCGGCGCGCAAACTTAGCGAAACAGCAGCGGCAGCAGCAGCAGTGGCAGCATCTGTTGCAGTCAAAACGCAGCCAAGTTCAAAGGCGAACACTAAGAAGCCGAAAAATAAAAAGAACGCGCCCAAGGGCAAAAAGCCAGCGGGGAAGAACGGCGCCAAACAAAATGGGAACAAAAAAGGTGGCGCTGGTGGCGCACGCAAGAATTTCAGCACGGACGAGGACAGCACACCGGCGCCCAATGGCGTCGCTGCCCCTCCAGATCTCAGGTTCAAATCACCATTCATACTGATCAAGCCCGATGGCACCATTAGCATTAAGAACACGCACAGCGCCGAGGATGTCAACGAGAAACAGACGAAGAAGAAGCAAACAAAGGCGCCGCACGAGCGCAAGAATCTGCGCGGAATGCATAGCTCGACACTGAGCAATCGCTACGATGCCGACACCACCGATTCGAGTTGGATTTGTGTGTTCTGCAAGTGTGGTCCACACAAGCTCGGACTGGGCGATCTCTTCGGACCCTATCTGGTGTCCATCGATTGCGAGGAGTATCGCACGGCCGTGCAGGTGCCGGCTGGCAGCAACGATATCGACGGTCTGTTTGTGAGCAAACGCAAGCGCGCCGACATGGTCAAGCTGCAGGAACGCAATCTGCCCGTGGTGCCAGCGACGCTGGCAAACATTATGCAGGCACCCAAAATCACCATGGTAAGTAGCCCTAACACAAAAGCATCTGTAAGTTCCACAAAAACTGACTTTTCGAGCCGAGACCATGATTTTGTCCATTCCATGCAAACTAATTAATAGCTTTCTCTGACTTGATTCAAAACTTTTCCAATCTTCGACAGCACAAGCGGAAGCGCAAGCAAACCCATGACAGCGTCTATTCCTGCAGCGATGATCCGAATGAATCGCAGTGCTCTTCACAGGATCCGCTGGATTGCAGTCACGAGACAAAGTTCGTGGAAACGTTTCGAGGAATGTCGAAGACCTCGGAGCATGGCTACGAGATTTGGATGCACGAGGATTGCGCTGTGTGGGCGAACGATATTCAGCTCATTGGTGCTCATGTGAATGGCCTGGATGCAGCGGTATGGGATAGCACGCGGTATCAGTGCGTACACTGTGCCCAGTCGGGAGCCAATGTATGTTGCTTTCAGCGCGCCTGCAAGGCGGCCGCACATGTGCCATGCGCGCGGGTCGCCAGCTGGAGCCTAAGCGAACAGGATCGTAAGGTCTACTGTCAGCTGCATGCGCCACAGAAGGCAAAGGAGGAAACAGCTCCAATAGCAGGTGCAGTAGCAACAGCAACGACCACGATGTCGGCCATTTCTGTCGAGCAAACGGCTGTGCCACCGCCCGTATTCAACATCAATTCGCTTCCCTGAGTACGCGTGCGTGTGCAGAAATATCGTATGGCCGTCACGCGTTGAGCGCACGTTCGGATACACAAATCCAGGTCCGAACAGCATCCTAACCCACTGTTGGATCCAGCTGGCTGCTCTGTATATAATCAATAAATGGCTAAAACGAGACTTTTACCTAGCTGGACTACAAGGCGGTCGCTGGTGCTGCTGTTCATGTTGCTTTTAATGCCGATTTCTGATCCATTGTAATCATTTTAAAACTTTTGTAAAAATCGAACTGCTGTACATTTTATGTAGGCTCTGTTACAACTGGGCGACTTTGATATATATATATATATATATATATATATATATATATATATATATATATTATGATTGTTTATATATTATACGTAATTTAAATTATTTCGATTATATTTAGTACTTAGCATATGTTTGTACCTTTTTAGTTGTAATTATTTTTATATGCGAATACTTTACATTTCCTATATTACTTCGCACTTACATCGGGAAGGATCTTGCTATTCCTCCACATCACAAATTGTTTTATCTTCATTCGATATATTTAATTTATGCATATGCCAATTGATAATTTAGTTCAATTTTGTATGTATAAACAAATACTCCATGCCATACCGTTTAATTATATTTATAATGATAATAATTATAATAATGATATTGATAATGATAATGATGATGATAAATGCATTGTGCACAGCATTAATTAACGTAAGCCTGTAACCGTAAATAGAAAATGTTTGACACCAATTAAAGCAACAAAACAAACCATAATAAAAACCACATTCGAAAACTATTCAAAATGGATTATATTGTTAAACAATATAAATAATAAAAATAATAAATACGATAGCGACATGTACAAGTAAAACATTGTATTGTATTTGTATTCATTATAATAAGAAAGAATTCTAAACACTTAAACAATAAAACTTAATCTCACAATGAAGAAATGCAAAAACAACAACAAACAAAACACACCAAAGATTCGTTTTCAACAAATTTGTCGTTTTATTTGTCAATAAATATTTGCAAAAGAATCGAATATAATAATAATATACAATTGAATTAACTTAATCTAAGCACTTAGCAACATAAATAATAACTTAATAGCTTTGTAGTAGTAGTAATCTCAAAGATCCTGATGTTGCTCTCAATAGCGTTGCTGGCGTATTCGTCTCAGATGCGTTATATCATTGGGCAGACGACCAACGCTGCTTTGCGGCACCTCGTAGGATGTGCGGCCCGCATAGAAGGCAACCTCCTGGCCCTGATCCTTCTTACTGCTGGTCAATTTCAGCTGGTTGCTGTTGACATCGCTGCGCTTTTGCGCCACCTGCAATGTGGGCGCTGGTATCAAACCATTAGGTAGTGCCGGCAATGGCACATTTAAATGATCCACCTGCTGGCCACGCCCAGCTGTAACATGTGTCGTTGCTGCTAATGATGCTCCAGCCAGTGGTGGAAAAAGCGGCAAATGTTGCTGTTGCTGCTGATAGGGCACAAAAATGTTGGCCGTTAGATAGGGCTGTTGAATGGATTGTATGGAAGGACGTTGCAACTCTTGCTGTGCTTGGAAGTGATTTTGCTGCTGATAAGGTTGTTGCTGGAATTGTGTTTGGTAATTGATTTGCTGTGGATGCGATTGTTGCTGATGGTGCTGCTGGATATGTGGTTGTTGCTGATGGTGTTGCTGATGGTGTTGCTGATGGTTTTGCTGTTGGTGCTGCTGATGGTGTTGCTGATGGCGTGGCTGATCTTGATGCTGCAGCTGCTGTGTATGGAAGTGTTGCTGCTCTTGTGGTTGCTGTTGGTAACGCTGGGTTATGTAGCTCAGCTGCTGCTGTTGCTGTTTATTTGGCTGATGATGCTGTTGCTGCTGCTGTTGATGATGTTGCTGATGTTGCTGCTGCTGTTGATGATGTTGCTGATGTTGCGAATGTTGCTGTTGTTGCAATATCTGATGCTGTTGCTTCTGAGGCACAGGTTGTGCCTGTTGTTCCTGATGCTGTTGGACTATCTGATGTGGATGTTGTTGAACGGACTGTTCCTGCCGCTGTTGCTGCAATGTCACTGGACTTGCAACATTCTCTTTTTCTGTGGTTGCCTGTCCAAATTTATTATTGAGAAAATCGTCAAGCGCCACATAGGAGTTGGCTTGAGTGCTCTTCGTTTGTGGCTTATTGATCAAAGATGAGATGATGCTGCTGGCTGAATTTGGCGCAATACGTTGTCCCTCTGCACGAGCAATTACAATGCCTGGTATATTGGAAAGCTCTATAGAGGGCAACTGTTGCTGTTGAGGGCGTTGTGGTTGCTGCTGCTGTTGCTGAGGACGTTGTGGTATGCTCAGACTGGCAAGAGCTGCAAAATGAGATATATTTTTCTTACTAGCTGGAATTAACAAAATTTGGCTGGAACTATGATAAAATTTAGCAGTTTCCTATTTTTGTCGTTTATATATAAATGTTAAATAAATAATGTTATTACCTGGTGCTGCTGTTACTGCTGGCTTAGGATAGTGATAGCTGTTGCTTGTTGTTGGCTTCGTGGAGCGTTGTGGTTGCTGGGAATTTCTGCTGTAGCCATTAGCATTTGTTGTTCTGTGGGCGTGGCTGCTCTTAAAGTTCTGTAAAATGGAGTCATCAACAATAGCACGCGTTAACTTATCAAATGGCAGGAAAGCAGAGGAAGGATTTAGACTTGAAGTGGTTTGTGACAGCTGTATTTGCTGTTGTTGCTGTTGTGGTGAGGCGCTTGCAGTATGTGTTTCAGCGGTTGTGGGTGCATTATTGTGGTTGTGTGTTTGAATGTGTATATTAAGTGGGTTAAGTGGCGGAGTATAACTATAGCCGCTGGCTAAAGCAGAGATTTGCTGTGATAGTGTAGACAATGCAGCGGCGGCAGTGGTGCGTTGTGTTGTTGTGGTGCTACGTGGCGTGGTTGTGGCTCGTGTTCGCTGCTGCTGTGGTTGAGTTCGGTAATTGGAATGACGACTGCGGCTACGTTGAACGGATGTCGTAATAGTGGGTCTGCTGGTGGTTGGTCTGGCTGTGTTTCTGCTGCTGCTACTGCTTGTGGAGCGTGTGGCTGGAGTGTAGACACGATTGCCTCGCTGCACTTGAAAGCGCTGCAAATTGCTCTGAACACTGTCCCAGCTTGGCTGCGACTGAGCCGTTTCCTTATCAATATCGCGCACGGAAATCTTCTTATTGGGACCCTGATCGCCGCTAGAGCCTACAAAGGACAAGGGCGAGCCCGTAGGGGTTGTTGTTGTGGTCGGGATAGGTGTGGTTGCTGATGTTGTTGCTTTTGTTGTTGGCTTAGTAGCAAGTGATAGACGCGATAGACGCAATCGACTTGCAGCCAGTCGTTCTAAGTAGCTGCGCGTAGCAGCTGTTGAGCGTTGTGTGGTGCTTTTACTTGTGGTGGGCGTTGTGCTGCGTGGAGTATTCACTTGTCGCCGTAATGCACCACCCGGGCCAACAACTCGCTTTTGTGCAAATCGTCGATAGCTGCGAATGCGCTCCTGAGTGCTGCTAATCTCCGTCACGGTTTCTGTGGAGGTGAGCATGGCTGGTGTGGTTATTGGTGTAGCTGTGGTGCTGCTAGTGGTGCTTTCTGGCTTCTGCTGCGTTTGTTGATTGATACGCAATGCTGACTCCTCGTCGTGTGAGGTCTGTTTGACGCCCGCAAGCAGCAGTTTCTCCGCCTGCACATCCACATCCGTCTTATCAGCCTCGGCGGCACTTTGTGGCTCATTCTGCAGCTGCTGTAGATTCTCGCCCAACGTTATGCTGGCGGTCAGTGCAGCTGCTTGGCCTATGGATTCTATAAGTGGGAGCTCACTGATGTAGCTAGGAGCAACTGGAGCTTCCTCAGTTGTGGTGTCAATTGTGGAACTAGTGGTGTCTTCTTCAAACTCTGGCGGCAGGTCAGGTGCTATTAGCAAACCTTCGATCTCGTCAGTTGTGGGGATTTCAGTGGTTGTGGTGGTACTTGTGGTTTTATCATTATTGTTGAAATTATGCTTGTGTTCTTTGTGAGCATCAATGGGTATCTCATTGGGCTTTAGTGGTAATTGTTGTTGATGGTTTTGTGTGGTTTAGGATATGTGCGTGATAGACGAAATTGTAGGCGATAGTTGGATAGGATAGCGAAAGTGTTATAAATAGAGAGAGAAAGAGAAATAAATGGAGATAGGAATTAAGGAGTAAAAGAGAGAAGACTCATCTTCGGTGTGCCGAAGATTTAATACCGTTGAAGTAATAGTATTTTGTTCAGTATCGCACTAAAAACCAGAATAACTTCAAAATTTACAAATAAATGTCCAAAATACTCTCTTCGAGGGTATGTAAAAGATAGCATAGATAGATTGTTATAATCTTTAGATACAACAGAAGTAGAGTTATTTGGGGGGCTTTTCATTTGACCTACCGTAAATCTGACTGTGCCCGGTGTTTGCTTGGGTTTATTGTATAAATAGGATGAGCTCCCGTCCTTATCATCATCAGTTTTCGCTTGCATGGAAAAACCTCGACTTAGAAATCGAAATGGCTGCTTCACCTTGTGCGGAGTCATTAATTGATAGCCGGAGATACTGGGATCCAAATCGGTGACTACATCCTCCAGCAGATTGTTAATGTTGGACACCAAATCCAGCTGTGTGGCTTCATCGTTGGTGTTGCGTATCTGCTTGATGTAGTCGGGGGCCATTTGCTCATTGGATGCAGCTGAGGTGTCGCTAGGCAGCTCCAAGCCGGTATTGACACGCTCCGCAAAGTTCTTCTGCTTCATGTAGTGATACTCACGTGGATATTCGGCAATGATGTGCGCATTTGTGTGATCGAACTGAATGCCCGGATCGGACGAAAGCTCACCCAGACTATTCACATAGATGTCGTCGCCATCTGCAGGTGTTGCTTCTTCAGTTGCTGCTGGTGCCGGCAGAGCTTCGCTCTTGATGTCCTCACCACGCAGTATATGATCTTCGGCGCTGACGTCAGTGGACTGGGTCAAGACGCCACTAGCACTGCTCAGATCCTTGCTGAGCGTATGATGGGTAATGTGCTGATCCTGCTCCTGCAGCGCCTTCGTTACGGTCTGGGTGGGATACTCCATCATTTGACGTACCCGCTCCATCATTTGCTGCGTGCTTCCAACGCTATTGTCACGATTCATGTCATAGTAGCGCTCCGATTGATCGCAGTCCACATTGCGATACCAATCGCACACAAAATTCTGCTGGCTAAAAATGGTGCCATTGGGACACAGAAACCCAAAACCCTGGGCACTGCGTGCCGTGTGAGCGCAAATGCGAAACGCTTGACAGCGACTTTCCACATCCGCATAGTAACCTGAAAGGAGAAAATAATTATGTACATAAATAAAATTAAGAAATACAAATTTGAATATGTATTATATATGAATGTCATTCACAATAGTTGATGTAACACTTTTGAAACTCGGTGTGAAACATATAATGCAAGACAGGAGACTTAAATTTACAAATATCACACAGATAAAAGGCAATCTATAATATACATTATAGAACAGCTCAACCGAATTGGAAGAAAAACTGTACAGTTGAATTGCTCAGCCTTTCCCCTTCTTCTATTACTTATTCTTAGCTTTTAACACGTTCGCTGCAGTTTATTTTGTTTAAGTTTAAGCACCACAAAATCACTTGTATCAATTTGCATTTATAATGATTTAAAAATCATTATTGAATCGTACTAACTGAAAAGTATTGCTTGCAAGAATTCCATATTCGCCAACCTTGTGGAAGGCTCAAAGTCGCCTTAGAAATCGCTGAAGGTCTCACAAGATTCGCAATATCATGAACAAAACATGTGCTTTTAAGATACTGATTGATACTATTGCTGGTGAATTTAATTATAAGAGAGCGATACATAGATCAATCAAACTTCAGAGAAGATTAGCATTTTAAGGTTTATCTTAATAGTAATTCATCACTAAAATAATTTGAAAGTGTGAGTGAAGCGAACTTAATTCCAGTTGAATAATTTGTTTTGGCTCGAAAAAAAAGAAACACAAATTGTTAAGTGGTCTATTTTATTTATGTTTTAGATTAACAACCACACACGAAGGTAGCTCAATAGTTTCCTTGGAATTTTTTTGCTTAGTTATGAAAACTAAGCACAATTCACAAATTTAACATAGAAAAGTACAAATTTGAATTCAAATTACAACCAAAAACTAATATAAATTAGCTAATAGCTTCACAGCATAAAATGTTACATAATTTAACTGATAATTTAATTGATAACTTTGTCTCTTACCTTCATGACGGCCCTTGCAGACGAAGCTCGTCTTGGGCACCTCGCTCAGTATGGGATAGTCCACGCCGGGCTCTCCTGGTATGGTGTGACGCAAATCAAACTGTTGATCGGTGTAATCACTCGCTTTGTCCGCATCCTCAAAGTTACCTTGTGCTTTCGTGCCGCCAATCAACAGCAGCAGCAGCAGTGGCAGCAACAGTGGCAGTGGCAGCAATCGTAATCGTAACCGGGGCATGCTATAATCAATAGTTAAACAATATGTAAATGGCACACTTACAAAACATTATGCATTAGACTGATTGATAAATTATGAATCAATAAACATTCATTGATTAAAACGAACATGCTGTTGAAAACATTTGAATATAAAACGACGTAAGAGCCAAGCGAGCCACTTAATTAGCATAAACACAAACACATTGAGGTGTGCCGCAGCTCTAACGCACACACGTAACCATATTAAGCGGTGTGTTAGACGTGTTCCAATGCTAATTTATTAAATCAAAACAAATGCCATATAACATTTGTGTATGAACTTATTAACGGCACTGTCGGCGATTTGAACGGCAACTGCGTGGGTTCAGCAAACATTCAAATTCGATTCGCCAGTTAGCCATATATTTGTGATGCATGGCGTACAAATGCCCAAAGAGCTTATCTCTCAGAAAACCAGCGACACAATAAAAGGAAACCACTGTCCAAATTTCAGTTGGTTACTGACCTTCAAATAACTATCACAATTTGCGTTTAATCTACACATGTTTAATACTCTAAAATGCACTTTCTGGCTAATCAAAACAGAGACGACTGTAGCAAAAGCTTTGCAGTTTTCTGCTGGTTTTATTAAGGTTAACATCAGATCTTGCAATCTATTATAATTTAAAAAATATAGCAGAGTAGTCCTTATGTTGAATATAAATAGCTGGTGCAAGTAATCAATAGTTTCCCTCAACGTTAAGTTATTGCAAAATAAATTACGGAATTAATTCGTTTTTGGCTAATGTCATTGGCTCATTCCAATTTGCCACGTGCTTCCAATCGTTTAATTAATCAAGAGCCTAAGTTGACGTGTCAAGTTATCTTAGTAGAATGCGACTAATTGATAATCATTCAAAGACAAAATAAATATTAAAGCTATTAAATTGAAAGTGTTGTCTGTGGAGCTGCCAAGAGCAACATATATCTGAGGTCAAGTTACTGACAGCCCATTATAATTTTTGGAAATAATATATAAGTGCTCAAGCTGTCTGTCTGCATATTAGAGTCTAGCTAGAGTATACTACTGGACGCTTTTTTCTGCGGCATTATTTGGTGAATTTTGCAGAGTGAAAACAAAAGACTTAGGCAACGAACTTGCCAGCTACACACTTGAAGTGTTTTGTATGTGCAGTCAGTCTAGGGTTTTTGCCATGAAAAGTGCCTGCAATCGTTTTGATTGTTGTGTAAGGAAGCCATAACAATCAAAAACCAAACGGCAAAACACTTGTGTGTCGCACAGTGGCCCATTGTGAAGATCATGTCAAATGAAGGGCCCAAAATTATATTGAAGACCTGAATGAATGAATTGTACTACACTCCAATAATAAACCTACATGCTGAATACATATGCACATATACACATAAAAATATAATATATATAATGTATATATAATAAACAACAGTAGTTGCCCACAATTTGCCAAACCAAATAGCGATGAATTTTTGTCTTTGTTTGGTCAACAAAAAGCTAAAGAAAAAATATCACAAAAAAGAAGCAGATGAAAAAATCAGTATTTAATTAGTTTCCAATTTTAACTGTCTGCGGCAAGCATTTGATAACTTAATCGATTATATAAGTTGCCTTGGTTTCAACTGATGATGTAAAAATTATTCAATAATATATAAATCTATGCAAAACTAATTTGTTGACAATTAAGCATATTTTATTTTAAGGCAGGGCTCATATGATACAATTTACGGGGGGTATTTAAGATAAAATAACAATTTGAAAGATAAAATAATAAACTTGCATTTTGTCAGGCAGTCAATAACCTCAGCGTATGTCAATAAACTGTAAGCCAACTAGTGCTATATAATTTTTATAATGACTATCTAAGCAACATCTAATTGTATTTTAATGACTGCCAAAAACACAACCCAAATGCCAAAGGCACAGATCAATTCAGCTATATGAAATAGCTATAAGTAAGAAGAAAAACACAATTACAATTACATTATGCAAATGCAATACAATTCATGTTGTACTACTTATTGTAAGCAAGTCCAAGAGCAAATCGTAACGAACGATACTTGTACATTCGACAGATTCAGGGTCATTATCAAGAGCAGTTAGAGTCAAAACAATGCGCCGTAATACCCGCTGACAATGAGGAAGCATTCCCGCATTCGAATTCAGCCGCATCATCTTCATCATATTTCACGTATTTTGACTGGAAACTGTTTTACTTCTCATTGTTTTCAATGATCCATCAACAAAAAAGTGAGACAAGCTAGCTAAGAAGAAGAAAAAGAAGCCATAAAAAATATTTAGATAGATAACAGCTTTGCATTGCGGCCTAAAAAGTGAATGGATAAATCCATTAAATCGCTATTGAACAATTTCTTGAACTTCAAACGCTGACAAATGAAGATGTTTTGTTTAGCTTTTGAATTTGCTATGCTGTAATCACATTGATTCCGCATTGTGTAATCTGTAATTACTATAATTTGAATTCTAGAAATTGACTTAAGACATATACTGAAATGGTTAATCATTTTTTTCTGTACTTCTTGGCTAGGGTGCCAATATAGCAGCAACTTTAAGCTTACCAAAACCATATATTTTTAATGATGTCAAATGACCGCAGTCAGTTAAATGGCTTCGTCTGCTTAGGAACTGGTTTCGTTTTACTCTAGAATTTAATTATAGCAATCCAATTTTGATATGTTCAAATAAAATAAAAATACGCGCCAAATAAGAGAAACCCACTCCACAGTCATTTAAGTGGAATTTATAAAATTAATGAGGATGAGAAAAAGGATCTGCATAAAACTTAACTTCAGATTTCGTGTATCAACCTTAAATAAACATACTCGCACTTATAAATAGATAGTTCGGGGCTTTTCTCAGACATTCAGTACCGGCATTGACTGGAATTTGGCATTTACCCCAAGTGCCTGTCAATATGGTCTGACTTCAATTGAGTGCGTAACACAAGTTGAAGAATGTGTCTCACTTCAAAATGTGCTGATCGCATCGTGTCTGTGCCTCAACTTAAAGTTTAGGAACCATCGGATCTGAATCCGCATTCCTTTTATGTTGTGGATATATTGCGAACGGAGTTTGGCTCATTTTGGAAGATTAACAGAATTTCAAATATCATTGAAGGGTTTACCTGAAGTATAAGCGATATTCAAAGTGTGAAGAGTTAATACTACAAGTTTCCCGACTTTCTGGTTGACTGTCAGGCTTTTGTCAGGGAAAATAAATTGAATATCCATAAATGGGATAATTTTGTGTTGATAGACTGTGTTTTGTTTAAGAAGATTAATGTTATCTACATTTTCGGTTTGCAGTTACCTGAATGATAAATGAATTGACAGTAGAATATGCATTTATTTAATTAATTCAGAGATTTTTACATAAATCAAATCTTGTTCGAGAAAGAATTCAACAGGGATTTGCGTGGGAATCCCGTGGGAGAAATATAATTTAATAAATTAAAAAAATAAAATAGAAAATGTTAAAAATTTTATTTGGTCATAATAATGTCTTTAAATTTTGATTCTTTTATATTCTACATTAATATTTTAAAATTTTTTATATTTGTCTGACTTATGTATTAAATTGCCATTTCAGATCAATTGAAACTTAATTTTCTCGTTGAGTTAAGTCGTTTAATTGTCCTTAACGATGTATAAGCTGCATTTTGTTGCACAATTCACATTTTTAACATAAATAATATTATTTATCTTGTATTACACAAATATTGTTAGTCCATACACAATTTTAATTTACCTTCGATTTGTTTAATGATTTTACGCTTTTTTATTAATAAATTGTAATTTAGTTTCTTTTTGGTTTCGTTAACAAATACACTTTTAGTATACAACTTCACAATAGTCGAAGTAACACAATATCATTATCCTTTCAGTGCAATATGTAATATCCTTTTAGTCCTCCAGCTAATGCGTTTAGCTGGCCGACGCGTGTATTCCAAACTTAACCGCTCGAAACGCGAACTTGAACTGAACTGAACTGAAAACTCAAAGATATCGAAATATTTGGCCACAATAAGATGAAGCAGCCGCAGCAGCGGCAACAACAACATCACCCAAAACTGTCTTATAATATGCGTAAAAGAAGAAGATACAAAAACAAAAGCACGACAAAAAAATACAATCGATTGCGTATTATGTGAAATGATGATAATGATGTTGTTGTTGCTGGATTGCTGCTGTTACTCCGGTTGAAAACCGGTGACAACCTGATGCTGCTACTTCTGCTGCTGATGATGTTGTTGTTGTTACTTCAGCTGCTGCTGCTGCTGCAACATATTCAAAATGCATTTTGGCCCTTTGGCTTGTGGGAAATGGCATGAGTGGACTTTCATTTTCATTGGAGAGCATCTTTCTCACGACTTGGCCAATATGAAGAATGTGACACATGAATGCTTAACCCTGCATATTCATTTTGCTTATATATAAGCTTAAGTACATAAATACGAGCAAATGTATATAAATAGTTTATGACGCTCTTTGTTTTCAAGGCTTTCTGGGAAGTGTTTTGGGTGTCTATCGTAGTGGAGCTGACAATTTCCGCATCTAAAATGCTATGAGCATCGTGTGACCCAAATCTTAAATTTTATAATTAAACAAAAGCTCATGCGATCAATTAAATCATCTTAAGAGGTAATTTAACGGCTGCTTACGAGCTGCAGTTGATGATTTTGAGGTTTTTGGCCAAAATGATTAATGAAGTAGGTGGCGTTGGCGTTTATCGTTTAGCTTTTAATTTTGTTATGTGATGCCTATCCACGCCAAAATAAGAACCACGCATATCAAATGCAAATCATCAGATTTGCGGTGGTGCTCTTCGTGAGCAGATGAGTTGGAGGCATCTCTTAACAAGCGTTAACTATGCTACTTAAACATTTTTGTCCATGATCCGCTTTTGGCCAAGCTGTGTTTAACCCGCGTATCAACAAAATATTTGCCATATCTATTCAGTTTTATTTGCCTTGCCATAACACAATGCAACTTGCACGCCAACTGTGGCAACATGCAAATTGTCTCCGACAGCAAT